TTATGTTATGTAGGCTCTCCTTCTTTGAGCCTCACTCACTGTGTCTAGCGTTGAGTGTAGTTAGGTCTCCTCTCGTTTTGAGGGTCGTTATGCTGAGACCTCCACTCTTAAGAGCTCCTAAACTAGGATTGAGTGTTGTTAGGCTTCCTCTCGTTTAAGAGAGCCATTCTGCTGAAGCCTCAGCTCTCCAGAGCTCCGCTTAGGCAGTACTATTAGTATGTAGGTTCTTTTGTGAGCCTCGCTAACTGTCTCTAGCGCTAAGTGTAGTCAGGTCTCATCTCGTCCTAGAGAGTCGTCATGCTGAGACCTCCACTCTTACGAGCTTCTCTACTAGGGCTGAGTGTTGTTAGGCTTCCTCTCGTTTAAGAGACTCATCCTGCTGAAGCCTCCGCTCTTTAGAGCTCCGACTTTGGCAGTAATATGAGTTTGTAGGCTCTTACTTTTTGAGCCTCACTAACTGCCTCTGGCGTTGAGTGTAGCTAGGTCTCCTCTCGCTATAGGGAGTCGTTATGCTGAGACCTCCACTCTTAAGAGTTCCCCTACCAGGGTTGAGCGTTGTTAGGCTTCCTCTCGTTTAAGAGAGTCATTCTGCTGTAGCCTCTGCTCTCCAGAGCTCTGCTTAAGCAGTACTTACGTTATGTAGGCTCTCCTTCTTTGAGCCTCACTCACTTTGTCTAGCGTTGAGTGCAGTTAGGTCTTCTCTCGTTTTGAGAGTTGTTATGCTGAGACCTCCACTCTTAAGAGCTCCTAAACTAGGATTGAGTGTTGTTAGGCTTCCTCTCATTTAAGAGAGTCATTCTGCTGAAGCCTCCACTCTTCAGAACTCTGTCTTTGGCAGTAATTGAGTATGTAGGCCCTTTTTGAGCCACACTAACTGCCTCTGGCGTGGAGTTTAGTTAGGTCCTCTCACTTTAGAGAGTCGTTATGCTGAGACCTCCACTCTTAGAGTTCCTTACTTTGGTGGGTGAGCTAGACTATGACAATTGGCGAGCTTTGAGCCTGCCTGTAGAGGTTTGTAGCTCGGGTTCTGGCCAAAGCGATTTCGCTGGGGCAGGGATGATGTTCCTTGATTCTTTGACTTAGGGAATCTAGTTATTTGGGCACTCATCCCTCAGCATGGCGGTGTTGGTATACCGTTCCCCTAGAGCCCTCTAGAGGACCCAGCGTGGAGTTCCCTTTAGAAAGGGAACGTCTCAGGTTACGCATGTAACCATGGTTCCCTGCGAATAGGGAACGAGACGCTGCGTCCCATTGCCATGCTTCGGGCATTCCTGCCTGCATCTCCTTCAGACAAAGAAGTGGATGACGTATTCCGCAGGTGCTCTTTTATCCCAGCAGTCACTTTATTGTTTACATCATAGGCTGCCGCCTGTCAATGTCAAGTTCATTGTCATTTTTTCATTCATGCTTCAGACACCGGTCACGCTGAAGGTGTTCCCCTAGCGCCCTCTAGAGGACGCAGCGTCTCGTTCCCTATTCTCAATGAACCATGGTTATATGCGTAACCTGAGACATTCTCAGTGCCACTGCACTCAACAAGGCAGCCCAAATGATGAAACAGGCAACGTGTCTGCCCAGTGGCGTAACGTTAGCAGACGGGCACGCAGGACACGCACTGCGAAAGGCCCTGCAATAACCTCCCCTTGTTGTGTTGGGTTGTGTCGAAAGACGATGATCTTGTATCGACGATAGCCAGATATCTTGTCAAAAACATAAATTGTTGGCAATATTAAGATATTTGGCATTTCCATTTAATGTAGGCCTGACATTCTTATTTTTATTAGGCCTATTATTATTAGACCGGGTATGATTGTAACACTTTTTGTTTCAAATCTGTAACTAGCAGAATTTGAGCTAGAGTGTTCAAACTTTTATACAAAGCACCCAAATTTGTTTACTACAAAAGGAACTAATTCAGACATCTGCAAGAATATCACAGCCTTTACAAGTAGATGTCAAATACATGGAGTGCCTTTGTCACAATCTACCCCACTTCCGAGCTATGTAGTAACACATACTGGGGTGAGTTGTAACAGTTAGTCAAAATAAGCAAAAACAGCAGCCACCCTAGAAAGTTTGTGTCAAAAACAGGTTTATTGAAACAATCTTAAAGAACAATACAAAATAATGTCTCACTTTCTGTGACTGAGCACAGTTCAAATCCACTTTCTGTTTTATGCAGGTGTGTGTGTGTGTGTATGTGTAAATTAGACTACTAGAACAAACTTCCTTAACTCTATTTATGCTTACTGAACACTCAACTCCAGTGTACCGAGAAAGAACATGTAAATCTAACAAAAATTAGATTTGTAAATTGGTGTGTGAAAGTTGTGTCTATTTATAATTTTTTTAACCCTAGATAATTATTTTTTATGTTTTTAACCCTAGAGTGCAGGCTTGGTGGATCCAAAAACTGCATAGGGCACATTTTACCCACACTTCCTTTGGCTTTGAGCTTCCAAATGAATTCATATATACAACATGAAAGAAGTTGTATGTAAGTGGATGCTAAAATGTGTTACAACTTACCCCAACCCTGTCATCCCGTGTTTAGTTTTACCTGTATTAGCATAATGGTTTGAAATTAGCAGTTTAAAAATGCATCACATTTTGCCTGAGAATCTACAATTTATTATAATATAAGGTATATGATTTTATTTGCAACAGTTTAAGAACTAAACAAAATGTAGTTTTGGTCAAAAAATTACATTCTTACATCAAAATCTGTTTTTTCTTTATAAAATAGGCATATACCTATTTACAACCTTGACACGCTATTCATATAAGATCGGGTAGGAAGCGGGTGAATAATGAAATTATCATAGGACTCCTAGCTTATCCCTAATTGGTGGAAATGGTGTTGTTACAACTCTCCCCATGTTACAACCATACCCGGTCTCCCCCTATTATTAAATAAAAATTAAAATAAAAATTAATTTGCCCCACAATGATTACCAAATAACTGACATGCTGCGAGGATAACAAAAGATTAGGCTATATATTTACTCATCAATTAAAATGTTTTTAAAAAGGTATTTTAAAACAGGTCTATACTATGAATTATAGGCCTATGATCAAAATATTAACACTTCAGTCATCAATAAAAAATAAATGAAATAAAAAGCTTTTATTTCAAGCACCGACTTTCAAAAACAACCTGTTTAACACGAAATATGTTTCTTCTAATTTTTTTCCACAATGTAATATTAGAAATATTAAGGGAATAAATAAAAACAGTTAGCTATGTACCGTTATCAGCATATGTTGAAGTAGATTTGTCTCGTCATCTCTGAGAGACTATGTGACATCAGATGCTGAAAGCTCCGTCATTCCTTTTTTACTTTCACTTTCTGCAGTGAATTGACTAAGATTAAGACGTTCACCAGCATAACTCTTGCGCAAAGTGTGCACGTTGCTTGTGTGTGATATCCATTGGCTCACCTTCATGGTTTAAAACAGAAATATTTCCAACAATGAGATGTAACCAATTACCCCCGTACCGAACCAAACCGTGACACCACTGTGTCGTATCAAACCGAACCATGAATTTTGTGAACCATTACACCCCTAATATATATATATATACCTGTATATATATATATTTTTTTTTTTATGTACTGACAAAAACAAAAAGGATGTATAAGGCCAAGGATAATGAGGCACAAATCAAAACAATATGCAGGATTTAGTGTCATTTCTGTAATTTCTAACTATTACACCTCAAATATATATATATATACCTGTATATATATATATATATAATATTTATTGTATATATACATACAATAAAAAGAAAACAAGTAGATAGAATATAAAAATAATAGAGAAAGCTATAGTGTTACGAAATAGAAAGTGCAAGTGTTAGAGTGTCAAGTGTTATTTTTTTATATATATATATATATATATATATACCTGTCAAAAGTCTCTTAATTAAGTTTTTAATGAAGTGCTCACCAAGGCTGCATTTATTTGATCAAAAATATATTCAAAAAAAGTTATATTGTGAAATATTACTATAATACATTTGACATAATAATTTTCTATTTGAATATATTTAAAAATTTAATTTATCATTCTATTATGCTGGCTGTTCAGTTATTATTGATGTTCAGTTATTAATAATGGTTCTTATTATTATCAATGTTAAAAACTGTTTTAACATGTTTCTTGAGCAGCAAATCAGTATATTAGAATGATTTCTGAAAGATGATCTGACACTGAAGACTGGAGTAATGATGCTGAAATTTCAGCTTTACCTTTACAGGAATACATTTCATTTTAAAATATGATAACAGTAGAAAATGGTTATTTTAAATTGTAATAATACTTTACAATATTAGTGTTTTCACTTCCTTTTTGAGCATATAAATGCAGCATTAGTGAACTATAATCCAAAGTAACTAGTAACTCTTCACTGGATATGTTTTACTCTACGTAGTTACTCAGAACAATCAGGATTATTAATTTACATGAGTAATTATTTCGATAAGTACTGGTTTTTGGATACTCTACCCTCCTCTGTTCATCATCAATTCATATCCATTCACAATAGGCCTATATTTAAAAAGACTTACTTACCAACTGAGGCAAGAGCAAACATTAGCCAGTGGAGGTACATGGTCGACAGTAGAAAAAAAAAATCTGTGTGAATAAATCAAACGTCACTGAGATACTTACTGCAGAAACAGAATTTACTTTTCATATGTATACACCATGAGTGAGAAACATGCTCCACCTCCTCAAATATGTGTTTATTGGTCAGTAAGTTTGAAAAATAACTCCTAGGGAGACACATCAAAGTAATTAAAATAATTAAATATTTAGTGTAATCATACACCTACCTTTAAAACATAATCCTCTTAGGAGCAATTCCAGCTGTAATATAATATGATATTCCTCAGTCACAAAAAAAGGCTTTACATACAGTGAGTAACAGGAATTACATGTTCCCCTCCACCTGTCTTCAGAAATTACACAATGTCTAACATCCCGAGGCTCACTACAACAACAACTACAAATTGATTGTGTTGCTTGATAGGTAATGTGACTGATATGTAATCATAATTAAACAGTAACTAATTATGTAATTCAGAAAAGTATGCCTGACCTTATTTTAAAAAAAAAATAATAATAATAATTTATTGTTGCAAAGTATAAATTCTGGCTATCAGGCTCAACTGTGCTCTCAAGTTCCTACATTAAAGTTCAGTGTCCATGGGCCCTATGCCTATTGTGCTGATGTAAAAATGTGGACTGGACTATGAATGACAAAACAATAATGTACAGTATGTGGAAAATAATGTGTTTTTTAACCTTAAACGTATTAAACCGCATAAACACATTTCATTACACCAAATACACAAAATAATGTTCTTTTTAGCAACATCATATGACCCCTTTAAGACTTGAATCTTAAAGTTGAAGACTTGCAACTCGACTTGGACTTGCCTATCTTGACTCGGGACTTGACTTGGGACTTGTCTGTCTTGACTCGGGATTTGACTCGAGACTTGAATGCAAAGACTCGAGACTTACTTGGGACTTGCAAAACAATGACTTGGTCCCACCTCTACTGTTACTTCCTCTACAGTCAAACATATGGGTGTTATATTAGATAGCAACTTTGAAAATCATATCTCCTATGTTACAAAAACAGCATTCTTCCATCTTAGAAACATTGCC